ATGCATTAGTCCTGATCTCTGTTTGTTTTGGGTGGTTTCTCTTGGGTTTAGTATTGTGGCATTTCGAAGTAGTTTGCCAGTTGTGGAGGTGGGCTTTAGTTTATTTATATTTTAGAATTGGTTTGTAACTTTTGTGTTGTTTTGTGGTGTAAGTGTTTTTGTATTTTTTTTTCTCATTTTTAAGAGCGTGTCTTATTCATTGTAGGAGTGTATATTCTCTTCTTGTGAGAGTTTTTCAGTTTTATTTTGTGTTGTTTTGTGACATTTATGCTACCTTAAGCAGACCTCTTGTGTTGTTTTGTGTTCCCATATTATTTTGCAGGTTGACTGACACCTTTCCTTCCTTACCGCTTTGGGCAGACTCACACGCCACCGCCTTGCACCGCCTCCGCTGACGCCTGTCCAGCATCCACGTCCTAGAGTTGTGGTTTGGCTAAAACCCAAGTCGCCTTAGGTTAAGCTAAACACCGATGGAGCATTTGACTGACCTACTGGAGTTGCAGGAGGTGGGGGCCTTTATTAGGGACCATAGCGGCCCCCTCATTACCGCTTTTCATGCTCCTCTTCGGGCCTCCTCGAGTTATGATGCGGAAGTTCAGGCGCTTCAGATCGGGCTTCAGATTTCCGCTTCGATCTCCTCTCACATTTGGATAGAGTTGGACGCTACCACTGTCACCACTCTTGTCATCTGGACATCAGGGCGCGTGGCAGATTCAGCACCCCCTCATGCGTATTAGAGCCACTCTTAGATCGATTCGCTATCGGATCTCACACATTTTCCGCGAGGGGAACCGACCTGTTGTCTTCCTTGCCGGTATCGGGTCCTCCACCCCCTAGAGACGCACCCTTTACCCTGATGATATCCCTCTCCGCCTCCGCAACCTCATACGGATGGACCAGATGGGATACCCTTCATTCAAATTTGCGTAGCTACTCCTACATTTTGGCGCATCTGCCACACTGTGATGCGGACTTCTTCGTCGGGCCTTTTCCCGGACCATCTTTTGTTTTTTAGTCTTTCGTTTGTCTTGATGTATATTAAACATTGATTTGTGACATTGTGACATTTCAGCCCATTTAGGGCCTTTAAATGACCTTTGTTATATACAGGTTGGAGGTTCG